GTCCAGCAAACAGATGTAAACTTGTATGAAGAGGACTCACTAATGATTAAAAAAAGAAGGTATTAACAAAATTCAAAGAGTAAGTGTGAAGCCACAGAGGAACTGCGCTTAAAAAATAAACAGAATCGAATGTCGGCATCCTGCAGAGACGCGTGCGACTGAAGACGTCTGTTTGTGTGTGAAAATAAAAAGACATTCGATTGAAAGCAGACTCAGTTTCCTGCTGTTTCCTCTGCTGCTTTCAAAATCTCAAGAGACTCAAAATAGTTTTTTTTTTCTTTTCTCTCTGTTGTGACCTGAAAGTTGTTCGGCTCTTTTTTCCTCACGAATGTGACCTTGTCCTATTTAATGAACTCTGACAGTCGTTATTTTGGTGTTCATGTTGTTGTTGAGGGAAGGAGAAGGTTTGGAAATAAGTGAAGTCAGATGTAGGACGTTGGGAATTTGTTCAGTCAATATGTTTCCACGTTTAGCAGGTTAACTGAATGTCTGACTTGAAAAATATACATTTAGGTGTTGCAGCTACAAAGTGACTTTTGCTGCAGGTAAAGGGAAAAAAAAACACCTCAGAGATTGTGGTTAAAACTCTTCAGACGTCAGACATCAATGTGCTTTCAATGCAAGACGCCATAGGAACAGAAAATGATATTAATTCATCCGTCTATATGGTGACGTCTATATGATATGTCAACATAATTTCCACTTATCTTTTACCTGAGGAAAGTTACAGATTTAACTTTTGATAATTAAATGCAGTTCCAGATTGTGTAGATGAGAAAACAATGGTGCTGATGAAGTTGTTTTGATTTTTCATGGCTTGAGAGATGTTTTTTTCTGTTCCTGATAATTAGAGCTTGATGAACGATGGGAACATTCCTGTTATGGTTTAATAATAACATGTCACTGAAGGGTTGTCTTAACTCGCCCATGCAACATCACACTCTTCCCTGCACTTTGCATTATAATAATTAAATACATCATTGTAAGAATAAGAGTATCACTCTATATAAGAAGTTGGAGAACATGTAATTTCTTCAAAAACTAAATGTGTAGCTCCTGCGCTGAGTCAGTGTGTAGTCTCTTATCTCCAGCGCCTCGCTTAGATAAACCCTCATGCGTTACATACTGACTCAGCGCAGTTTAAATTTAACTTTTGTTCCAGTTTCCCTTTGGGTGACGATTTTTAAGCCTTTTAAAGAAAGTACGTCCTAATGGGAAAAAAAAGGAAAACAATGAGAGAAGTGAAGAGAGCGTGTGTCTGAGCCTCGGCAACTTTCCATCTATATGTCATGGATGAAACCTTTGAACTTGTGTGGGCATGACGTGCACGCTTCACATTGTTTGAGTCTGTACATGCAGCACTAATTAAGAGCTGAGAGAAGGAAGCACGGTCAGAATAATCCTTCCTTCTCCCCCTCTTTCTTTCACAGACACACAGAGTGCACAGTGAATGGAGGATAATTGGTCTGGGCACTGGGAAGACACTGCATGTTGATAGATTCTTCATTCTGTGTGGTGTTCGATCATCGACTGACTTCACAGGCAGCTTCACTGTCTCCTGACTGACCAAGATATAATACTGACTTCATTTGATCTTAACGTTTTCGGGGGTTCTGACATTTAATTCTATTGGAATTTTAAATAATTGATAATCAACCTTTTTGCATCAACCATGGTGTGAAATTTTACGAGATATGTAAAATAATTGTTGTTTTTAGTGACGAACCCACGGAAGATGTTTTTGCAGCATACGTCAGCTGTTGTTTCAGCACCATGGACAGCGCTGTTTGTTGCGGTGAAGGTGCCGCTGTGTGAGTTTGACGGACGGAACGCTTCGGCTTGTCCATTCATACCTGGCATCAAATTGTGTCTCCGCATGTCGAGTGGTCGGATCTCGTGTGTTTGAGAGAGAGAGAGAGAGAGAGAAATGGATTTCAATTATTTGAAATAGTGAAAAAAGGACACAGGACGAGTCAGCTGAGTAGGTGGTCCTTCTCTAATGTGTCCTCAATGCATCGTGGGTGAAGTCAAAGCTGCACTTAGAGCTGTCCATTTGAAATAGATCACTCAGGACAGATGTTAACACCAGGGCTGAACAGGGACTTCATTTGGTTTATTAGCCGGTTTACTTTTCTTGTTAATGTTGCCAATATTGTCGTTGTGCAAAGACAGAGAGGAAACAACCGTGAAGTAGATGAAGAGATGAAGAGGGAAGGACCAGTGGACAGAAACATGACTGAATACTAATGTTACTCCACTCATTCATTAATTATATTATTCCAGCTTCACTGTGAACAGTATTTTTCAAACTAAACTGTCAGTGAGCAGGTCTACATCTGTTGACTTGGTGTAATATTTTGTTATTTGTTAAAGGAATAACTGAGGTTTTACATTTTTTGGGGGAAACTGCTTATGATAGATGGCAAGATCGATATTGAACTGTTTATCTTAGCTGAGCAAAGAGACCGGAGACAACAGAGACAATATCAAGCTGAACAAGTGAGAAATACTTTAATCTATTCTTCTCGATGATTTTCTTACTTTCACACATGACTTGTTGAGGTCTGCTGTTTGACTTCACATTAATTAACAAGCGTGCTCTGTAAGATTTAACATCTCTTACCTCTGTTTTTTTAATGGTGCCATAAACCCTTGTTCACCTCGACCCCGGCAAACACAGAAGTGCTAGTTGACTGAGGACATTAACTTTTCATTGGCCATCAGGCTAATTGGCTGCTTGATGTGACAGTGTTCAAAGTGAGCTGACTCACATTCTCCCTCTCTAACACACACACACACACACACACACACACACACACACACACAAACTCACACCTTCCTCATCCCTGTGACAGCTAAATTGGGATTAACGAGCTTTTAGGGAAAAGCTGCAACAGCAGCTCCTTTCCCTCCGTTTTTCTTCCACTGACACCCCCATGCCTGGCTGTCTGGCAGGCTTGTGCTTGATCTTGCATCAAACACAAACGTTTCCTTCTTTTTTTTTTTGGGAGAAAAAAAAAACATTGCATACACCTGCTTGGAATACATAGCCTGCGGGAGTGGTCTTCTTTGTGCCACTACACTGGTCAACAAACACAGCTTTGAGATCACATTGGATTTAGAGTAAAAACAAAAATACTTGAAAATATACCTCTGAGGATAAACTACTGTCTCGTGGTGAATGGCAAAATACACTATCGTATAAATAGGACAGAACTCAAGGAACAAAAGTTAATGGGCTCTAATATTAATGTGACAGAACCCGGCAGATGGTGGGGCTGCGAGTTGGCAAAGTGAGAGTAAGTTGTACCCAGCATGATGTGGTGGTGCCAGTTTCGCACCACGCCATATTTCATGGTGAACTGAAGCTGCACAGCATGTGCAAACATTGTGGGAAACATTGGTCTTTAGTGCTTTCAGGCTTAATCCTCACAAATACAGTTTTATTAAAAAAGGCAATTGTTGACTGTTCTTTTGAGGGAAACGCTCACACGTAGAGGCCTCCACTGAAATGGGAGCCACAGTAGAGCTTTGTCTACCACGGTTTTACTTGCTCATACAAACCATGGCTGAAGCTCGGGTTTCTGTTTCTTCTGACTCATGTGCACATGAACAGATAGCTTCCCTCACTTTGACTTGGATGAAATTCTCCCCATCGAGCGATGCCTAATGAGTGATGTCCACATGTTCCATTTGCCTTTCTCTTTGACGGGCACTGCTAGTCTGAGCTAGTGCTAATTACCAATCAAGTGCTCATTAGGTGGCTGTATGATAATCGTCCTGGTTTAATAAGTGTGTCATGCACTGATGATGTGGAGTCATTGTGGTTTAGTCCTTGAATGAGTGAAACGTGACAGTTGGAGAAAACGTGCAGCTGCAAAAACTGAAAAAGAAAAAGAGGTAAAGAATTTTATCTTCCTAATCTGGATTTCTGCTTGTATCAATCATCTCTCGTAATCACATACCAGAATTCGAAGCTACAGGGTTGGATGGCATCGGTACCAATACAGCCAGCACATCCATTCTCATCCTTCCTCATTGGCCGCCACAGACATTCTCTGGCACATTGGCAAGCGCCATCTGTAAAGACGAGGGGGACGCCTCAGTCGTGATAACCAGTGAGCTCAACTTCACCCCGGGGAAGAATAGAGCTCATTCAGTTGCTCCTCACAGTCTCACCAGGACACATGTACCATCACCCACCCAGGCCCCCCTCACACCTTCTGTATGTTCGCGAGGGGTCGGCCGCCAAGGACGCCAGAGAAGCTCCCTCTGCCTGGTCTGCAGCCATGAGAGCCCGTCTGTAGATGTGACGTGTGTGGTCTGGAATATGACCACACATGCTCAGAACCTCCACACTGCTGCGAGTCGTTCATCATACATTGATTATAATGTCATTACGTCCACTACATTACTTCACACACCCGATGTTCCCATTATCCTTTTGGATAATGTTGCTGTTGCAATGTTTGCGCTCATCCAAACCTATTTCCCTTAAAAAGGTAGCATACTACAGTTTCCTCGAATGTAACTACGTCATAGCACCAACCATCCCTTGGACAGGGCAGGCGTCGTCAAGCAGTTGAAACTCCACTAGGACGTTATTTTGTGATTAAGGTACATACATGTCCACATACTGCGACTAAGATCTGAATACTCCACGTCTTCATCTGATTCTTTATTCTGAGTATGAACTTATTTGGGTGAAGCTCGTCAGAAAAGCAGTTTCTTATTCAGACTTATCTCTTGATCCAGTTAGTTCTGGAATATTGGGATCAATGCAACTGTAATCGATGTTTTAATCAAAGCAGGTGATCGAGAAAAAGAGTTGGAGGAAGATAAAACATTCAGGCGCACAACTGGAAATGTCACGTGTGCACATCAGTTGCCATATTGTTCATCGGCAACAGCACTTCCTCATTTGTGCTGTTTGATCTACAGATGTTCTGCAGAAACTCTCAATAAAAATAACTGACTAAAGCGATGTCCATTTGATGCAGGAGGTGCACAGGCCGACGGGGTGAGGAAGAGATTCAGACAGACGTTCCTCGCCTATGACCCGTCAGAGACTCAGAGGTGAGGCCTTCCATTTAAAGAACAATATTCTCATTCTACATCAACATTACATTCAAATTGTTCTTTTTTATATCTTCTATCTATCTTTGTGAATCTAAATGTGCTCATACTTAAAAATAGATGATGTGTGATGTGCACAGAATTCTTTGTTTGGAGGTTTTCTTTACTTGAGTTGAAAAGTTTCGCAGCATCGGCCGGTGAGGTCAGAAGATCCATGTGTACATTCATAACCGTTAAGCTGTATTGGACGACTTCCACCGATGGAGCATGTTTAGTGAACTGAAGACTGAGTATTTAAAGGGACCGTTTGGCTTTGGCGTCTAATCGTGTTCCGTCTCCTGCTCTTTCATGTGCGGCCTCTCAGATCCCTGACAGGTTTTGTCTGGAGCTCTTGAACCAACTAAATGTTTTGTTCCACCTGGGAGAAGAACTCGTCATTAGAACAACCTGAAAATAACTTGTTTCTCTCATTAAGGCTTGAACCTGCATCCAACATAAACCAAAAACCTGTCAGATACGTTTACAGCTAATTGCAGCTCTCATGCAACATTTCCATTGCTGAAGGAAATGATTAGTGAGCTAAGTTCTTACATCACTTTGCATGTTTTTGCTTCTCAAGTGTGAATTCATGCCACATAATCTTTTCACTGACTACACCATAACCCCAAAGGCCACAAAACAACCCACAAAAAGCTTCCTGTTTAATTGCAGGTTGAGGCAAGTTACGCACATTAAGTGGGAATTAAAACTGTAAATTAAGAGCTATCAAAAGTGCATCAAGGACTTGAAGTGGAAATTATTTTTTGGGTGAGGTGATTAATTAGTGTTAAAAAAAGGTTAAGTCTGGTGTTTCTGGAGTGTGTGCAGCACGTGTGTGTGTTCAGAGCTTTTCTTTCAATCACCGCCAGAGAGATAAATCAGTTCCTTCCATCTGTTGGCCAGGCCCGATAAATAGGGAGAAAATGCACGAGGAGGGTAGAGAGAGAGAAGAGACGGATAAAAGAACAAGAGTGAAAAGAGATATTCATGAAAAATACTCTTCTGACTAATGATACATTTTCTCTGAGAGAAAAAACCACAAAACTTTTTCACAGGATACTGTTTCAGTTTCAAAACCATTATTTTTTGGTACTTTTTTACTCAAAACCCAGCTCATCTCAGAAAAAGGGACACGTAAACACTCAAAAGGTCAGAGTTCATTATCTGGGAAAAATTGCTTGCAAAAATAAAAAAAAGCTGCTTTCTCTCGCTCCTCCCTCACATTCCGTCCCTCTTGCTTCAAAGCTCAGCAGAAATAATGAGATGAAAACAGAATGCCCGTTTGACACCTGCTGTTCCACCGACGCTTTTAAACGGTTTCTCCGTTAAAAATACTCCAGAGCTTCGAGTATTCCTAACATGTTCATAGTCAACAGCAGTGGGCGCAGAGGATGGAGGTGAAGGCTATTGTTCCGTGTTTAAAGTGACGCAGCTTGTCATTTTACACTTGTGTAATATGGAGTGTACAGTGAGCAAACACACACAATAAAGTACTGTACACACACACACACACACACACACACACACCACTGGATATGATTCGCACCAGTCATTACTCTGGCTCATGATTTAGGGCACAGTGTATAGAATACTTTCTTCTATGCTAAAACTTTATTCTTTCATAGTTGTAACTGTTAAAGTGTTTTCATATAGTTCCTGCATCTTGGAAAGTCGTTTATATTTATGACCCCTGCAGAGAAAGCAAATGGCCACTTTACACTCAACATCTAAGTCAAAAAAAGATTTATTAGAGAAATTAAATTCCTCTTTTAATCTTCCATTTACAGTTATGATGAAAGAAGGGAGGTTTTTATGTAAGATTTCATGTATAAGTTTAGATTCTGATGAATGGAAGAATATGATGACACACACACACACACACACACACACACACACACACACACAAACAGATGCTACACCATAATGACTGTGGTGATGGTGCCTCGGCCAAATCTGTCCCCTAGAAATGAGGATTCTATACAACGGAAGCCTAATTGCAACTTGATTACGTTTTCTATCAAAGTGACGAGGAGAAGTTGTTAATTTATGTGAGTAGCAGGTCGTTAATGCTGCTGCGTTACTGTGGAGGGAAGCTGGAGCACCCAGAGTTCACAGCCACGGGGCGAACACGCAAACTCAACATGAAGGTTGTAGTCGAGCCCAGAGCTTTGTTGTTGTGATGAGACGTTGCTAAACACCGTAGCCAAAACGTATAAATAGGAAAACGTGAAAACGTGCAGTGCAATGAAGAAAATTAAAAACTCCAAAGGTACGGAGCCAGGTTCAAATGCAAACAAAAATTGCATCGTGAACTCTGACAGGTACACAACTGATGAAATGTCCCGCTGCTGGTGGTTGCTAACATCTGCCGGTGATCCTTGACATCTGCTGCTGGTTGACAGTTTATCATCAATAAAGTTCGGAGGACATTCAAACTTACGAGGGATATCCTCCATCTTGTCCTAATTTTAAAACCAGCTTAGCATGAAAGACTTGAAAGACCAGAGATAAGTCGGGGTGCATCAACACTTGTTTGGTCCAGAAGTCGGAACCAAAATAACAGACGTGAAACATGCCTCAGACGACAGTCCGGAACAAAATGAAAAGGGGTGGTTTCAGTCACGATCGAACAAAAGTTCGGACTTTCGTAAGAATTGCAGGAAGACGGCAAAATGTTTGAACAATCAGAACTCATTTCTTTATTCTATTCACTTTACTGAAAAAAGTCAGACGTACGCCCGTCTCCAAACTAATCAGTGTCAAGTTTCAGGACATGAAACCAAAACTAACTTCATGAAATATACAAAGTATTTCTTTAATTTGTACATATACGGACGAAGCCTTAACGGTAACACCCATGTTGCACATCCTCTACCTTGTGTCACTAACTTAATTCTGCTGCAGTCTTTTAAAACGTATGTGCATCACACAGCTACAACAGGGAACAATCACATATTGTTCAGAGACACAATAAAGTTTCCCTGTGCTGTAATTCCTCCGCTGAAGTGTGTCCTCAGTGTTATTATGTGAGAATCCTCTGTGATTACCCATATCACCGTGACGGTAATCCCTCCTTTTGGCAGATATCAGGATCACGCTGGCGGCCATATGTCCAAGCGATGGCTGCATCCAAGCCCTTCTGTCTAGGTGATAGACTCGGCCCAATTAACACTAACGAGATTCAGAGCGGAGGCGAGCGATTGCGGCCGCTGTCACGTATTGCTCTTTCATTATTCTGCAATTTTGGAAGTTGTTCTCGTCTTTCCTGGCTTCTCCTCTTCTCTTCCTCTAACACTCTGTTCCATTCTCTGCTTTCTTTCTTCTGCCTTGACTCTTATTCTCACTTAGTGTCCTCTTCCAGTCGCCCTCGTTTGGCTCATCCCTCCTTCTTGTCTGTCTCGTTTTAGACTCTCCCCTGTCCCATTTCTTTACCGCTTACAACCTCGTCCTCATTCCTTCTCTTCTTTCTTTCCTCCTATTCCTTTTTCTCTATATGTACATTTTTTATACGCTTTTCACAGCACACACTGCGATAAATATTGACCCTTCAAATCCTGTTTTCTTTTCTTCAGCCACTTTCCTCTTCACTCACTTTAAGTCTTAATTTTTTAATCTTCCTGCAGAGGTGAGATTAGAGGGGTGGGTTTACAGGATAATTGTGAACGACACAAAATGACAACAGCTGTGACCATGTAGACAAAAGACATAAATGCACAGTGTACACACACACACATGCACACACACAAAAGGGATGACTGACACCACCTAATGTTCTGCAGAACCCTTTAGTGAGTGGATATTGTCTGCATCAGCCGCCATGTCAAAGTCCTGGTACATGCAATTAAAGTCTGTGAATACATTTGAATATATTTGGTTCCTAGTCACCTGTATTCATTTGCTAACTGATGGATGCCCTTTGGGTTGATTGCAGTCTTTAGTTTTACATTTAATCTGCTGCCTTTTTTATTCTTGGCAGTGACGGTGGGCTTTGTCGTCTCTTTGCTCCCGCCTCCCATCACAGAGAAAGCAGATCATTATGTCGAGGAAATATTAAGATAATCACACTGCGGCTACGTGCGTATGGTGGTAAATACACGCTGGGAACAAACTAGCGGTCATTTAGTGCAAAAGATGTTTGGAGGGAACGTAACCACTGTGAAATCTGCTTGTCGAGCTGTGTCACCCGTTGTTAGAGTCTGAGGAAAGGAGCTGTTTTCACTTGGTCTCAATATTGTACATCACTTAGCTGAGGCCTTTTTTTAGCTGTTGCCCTAAGCACTGCTCTCATCATTCACTGAGACTAATGAGCTGTCTTTGCTGATGTAATTTACCTCGTTTTGTGCCAGGCCCTATGAAAAATTCAACCGTTGCCATGAAAAATAGTTGCGTTTTAGCCCTTAATTATGTTCATATCTTTGCCTGGCAGACGCTGTCGATACCGACGGAGTCTTTCATTTCAATTTGTTGGTGACTGGTGATCACAGAGGAGACGCAGAGGTATACAGCTAAACATATACACAAAGATGCAGCCTATTTAATTATATTTCATACTTTCACGTGTTCTCTTGCCTTGTTAATGAACAAACACACATTATTTCTTTAATTCTTGTCACCTTCTATTAAGATTTCCTAACTAATTACACTTATGTCATTTCTTAATAAGTGCCAAGCAGATTTTAAATGAAAATTTAGGAGGAAGAATTGTAATCTGCTGAAAGTCCCGTCAATTAGCAAGTTCAACCTCTGAGGGCCTCTCTGTGTCCTCCAGTGTTGTTCTCCCACGCAGCACGCCGCCAACACTTGTTGCTAATTGGAAACAGATTCACACAAAGTATTCTGCAGAATGGACTTCAGGAGAAATTGACTCATTGAATATCAACTTTTACCAGATATGTTATTGAACAACTGTTCTCCATTATCTTGATTAAGAAAATTACTGCACAAAATGTTGTTTAAAATGCAGATACTCTCAGATAATGACTGACTCTTTTTGATATTGACAATTTGCAGATGACCTTGTTTTTCTTAAGTTTATGTTTGATTTATCATAATTGTATTCTGCTCCTTCATTTAGATGTGGGTTATAAAATGCGGTGCATCTTACTCATATGAGAGATGTTGAACCCTGTCCCTGTTTTCTTGCTTTACCCTGAAGTCAAAGCTCGGAGGAAAACCCTGCCTCACAACAATCATTGCAGATATATTACTTTAAAAATATTGTCAATAGTAGCACAATTACAGAATGAGACATTCAACTCTGGAGCAAAATAAATTGTAGAGGCTGCAGAGGAAGCAGTAGAATGGGCAGAGTGAACCCAGGTGACCTCACTGACAGCGGCTGACTGTTGTGTTTGGTACGCTGTTATCTTTGTTTGAGCTGCAGGACTAGTTTATCATGCACGGCCGTATTCATAGTCTCTGCACAGTCGACTACTCAAGATCCCCATTGTGACACATCCATGAATATTTACAGCTCATACAACAAGTAAAAAAAAATGTTATTCAGTGGTCGGACCTGGCGGCTTTGTCGCTCATCAGAGAGCTGAAATAGTGAATTTCATCCCGGCAGCGGTTAATGACTGGAGGCAAAGCTTCCTGGACGGAGAAGCTAAAATTCAAATGCTACAAGTTTGCATGTGGGATGGAAAATATGTGTGTGAACGTCTGTGTTCCAGGTTTGTCCTATGTTGTGGGGACACCAGTTTACATCGTTATAATGCAGGACACAATAAAGACATTATGTAAGTTTATCAGAGGGTTATGTTTAGATTAGGGTGAAATAAATTTCAGAGGCGATGGTAACTGAGAGTGCTTCTGTGTCATGGTTTGTCACGATAAGTGTTCTCAGGGATGATAGTCAACTTTCTTTCCACTTTCAGTCTTGAAAGCACCATATTTAAAACATTTTTTTTTTTCATGCTTTGTTGCCATTCTTCTCATGATAATGTGGTATTTCCAAACACAAAGACTGATGTGCAGACATTTCAAGGGAGCCAACTCACAACCCGCCAAGCATCATGGGATTTAGTCTGATGCATGACATTCAGGGGGGAGGAGGGGGTCACTCGCCAAATCCTTCGCATCCCTTTTATACCTCACATTTCTTTGTGGTTCAGAAAGAAGCACTTCACCTCAGATACCCTCGAAATCCGTTATCACCTTCATTACACATGGTCCAATTCATCTGTTCGAAATCTCCTTTCTCGTGTCTGTCATTCTCTGTGCTCGGCCAATAAGAGCTGTTTTAAATAACAACCTGTTTGATGAATGAGGAACTTGACATTCAGGGATTCTCATAATCGAGCTGTAAGCACCCCTGATAAAAATGGCACAAGGTCCTTTAATGCATAATGTGACGCAGACATGTGAAGTCCACATGTGCCACAAACAAAGCACCACCAACTATCATCTGCCGAGTCCGTGGCCAAGCGGTGCAAAGGCCTTCATCCACGAGCCAAATTAATTTCTTTGTCTGAGCTTCGGCCAGCTTTTCTTTTTTTGCAGATTTGAATTATAATGCACACTTACAGGAACTGTTTGCTTCTCTCAGTCACCTTGTCTTACTCTGTAATTAGAATTTATTGAATAATGATACAATTGGCAGAGGTTTGTTGGTTTCTAATGAATAATAAAGTAGTGGCTCAGGCAGACGGGTAGATGGGGAAAGAGGTGGGAATACAAAGGGGAGAAGGGGGAAAAATCACCAGTAGTGCAGTTGAATGGAAAAACACTGCAGTACATTTGCAGTACGAGAAAAATAATATTGATTAACTTCTTTAATTGACCATAAAGTTTAAGGATTGTCCTCCAAAGGGAAAAAAAATTAGCCCCTCGATCATTAGGCAGCTAAGTTAAAGTTTGTTGTTAGGTGACCTCCCGTGGCCGTGGTAACAGAGGACGTCAGGTGTCACAGCGGAGCGACACAGTCGATGTCAGGAGAAGGTTGAGGTAGATCGATCCGAAACAACAGGCAGCTTTGTTTCCTTTTATCTACGATCGCTCCAAAGCATTCGCCCATTAATTATTGTTGCTATGACAATGACATTGTAGCACGCCAGCTGCTGTTACATTTCTTGGGTAACGACAAATGAGCCGTATTGTCATTTAGGTTCGTTCAAGTTCGTTGAATAATGGCCGCAGAACAGAAGTTCTTACTCATGAGGATGAGGACACAAATTCAAAACCACTTCAGACAGTTTTGAATTCCAACAGGTTATTACAGTTCGAATACAAACTTTGAGACTAAAACGCAAAGTATTCGTTCGTTGTCCATCACCTTGGTTTTTGGGTTTTTAAGTTGAGGCTGCCAATATTACTTGGGAAAGTTTTGCTCATGAGAAACCAAACTGACTTGAAGAAAGACAGATTAAAGAAAGTTAAAAAACTATTTTACCTGTTTTACAGGCATGAGAACATTCTGCCAGAACTATTTTTTTAAATGACTCACCTTGGAGGATGGGGACAAAATAAATTCACACACAGACTCACAAATATACAAAGGGATGATTTAGGGAGTGAATAAACCGCTTGGAAAATGATCTAACAGACTTTGACTGTGAAGAAATTATTAATCACACTAAGCCCATTACAGCTAAATTATTCATGGTGTGAAATTATTTCCCTATCGTCAGAGGAGCCTGTATATGTCAAGTGGCTCAAATTAACTGCATAACATGATGGAGCTTTTTCCCGTTTTCACTGTGGGTAAAAAAAAAGAGACATTACGTGGCCTTGCAATTAACTTGTAATCCCTGTCGGATGACAGCCTTGTCAAGCGGACACTGGTTGGTGCTGCTCTGTACATGTAAATCAGTCTTTCCATGTAGGTTGTGGCCAGTTGTTGAAAAATGTTGTTTGTTTATTTCACATCATTAGAAGATACTGAAGATCTTTATTAATCCACAAACGAATGTGTTTTTTAGTCTGTTTTTATGCCACTAATGATGAAACTGGACTCAGACGCTGTTGTGGTCTGTTTGAGAAAAATTAGAGAGTAAAATTAATTGCTTCTGACTCCTTCAAAGTCCCTGAACACTGTCAATAATGAATAGAGTGAAATCTTCTTTTTCTGGCCTGATTTCTGAAGGTCCCGATAAATAATTATATTCTTTTCCTCCCAGAATAAAGTCAAACATAGTTTAACCTGTTTCCCCTCTCATCTGTCTATTAT